ACATTTTGCAGCTGGTTTGTCAGGGAAAGGAAGTGCACACAAGCCCCAAGCAGTGCTCCTTGATGAAACAAGCTGATGCTTGTGTTGTTCTGAATTTGTTTTTTTTTTTCCCTTTTTGATAATGAAAATAATATATGGTACGAAAAAGCTTTCAAATAGATCGTCCTCCACAAGGTGAAATATTATTTTTCTATTTCTTACTATTTTATCCTGCTCTGAGCGACATAGCCAGAGGTGACTTATTTTCAGCCTTGTTATGAATTTCCGTCTTTGGTCCTCTTTGTTCTGCAGTGTTGCACCAGTTGACCATAAGCAAAGTTCAGCAGATTAACATTGCATAAAAGAAACATTACGTGAAAAAGCTCTTTGTTGGGAAGTGGAGTAAACAAGCGAAGTGGGAATGAATGGATCTACCTGATGCTTAAGAGGAAAACCCTGAAAATGAAAGTCTCTATAAGTGGATCCTCAGCTGGAGACGCTGTAGTTTTATTCCAGGTGTCGACAAACAAAAACATTGCAGATGATTTTTGCCTCTGAAGCTATAAAAAGCAGCTGTTTATTTAGTAAGAAGGAGTCAGAGCGGGAGGAGTCTTCTAGCATCTGCTGCTCTAAGAAACGCAGCCATGACAGATGAAACATTGACTGTTTTCAAGGTGCAGAAATGCAGTGAAATGTCCGGAAACTTAGAGCAAATAATCCGAATGTCCATCGAGCTCATCTGTATAAACGTTTTTGCCCGTAATGTGTAGTCCTGCTGATTTTTCCATTTTTCACTGTGGTAGTTTTTGGAGGTGAAGCCCCTGTAGGAAGGGGATGTGTTGGAGCCGCGGGGCCTCTCAGCAGATATGTGTTTGGATAAATACATTAGGCTGTTTCCTGGCTTCCACAGAGCCTGCAGTGTTTTACTTTGTCATTCTTAAACTCAGACTGGGAACCCTGGGATCACACACACACACACACACATGCAAACCCACACACACACACACACACACACACACTCTCTCTCTCTCTCTCTCTCTCTCTCAGAAGCCCATCCCCCCACTATGTTGAAGTGCTTATAGAATACAAGCTCTGTTCTGGGAAAGTAAAGACTTGTTTAGATTTGAGAGATAATGATCCGACTTGTTCTAGGTTCCTCTCTCACTGCGTCCACAGTATTTGGTCATAAATAAAGTTGTTACTTCTCTGAAAGCAAAGCAAGAGAAGGAGGGAAAAAAAAAAAACAAGTGAGGCGGTTGCCCGCCTTTTGAAATACTATCCGTGCCTTAATGGCCCCCCCCCCACCCTTACACAGATTATTTAGATTTGTGTGATGGAGTACAGCAGTACCTTTTGTGCCGTGTGGAAGGTATCACTCTCTGAACCACATATGAAAACATTCTTGTAGAGCGTGTACACACTCCAGACTGACAAACACACACACACACACACAGTGGCAGTTGCAGGCTAATGCTGTGGAACGTGACCCTGAAGTCAAAGTGGCCCTTCTTCAGAGCATGGGACGTCTCAGTCTGTCTGTGAGTGAGCGACAGACTCAGTCCAGCCCTGTTTATGTCTGGTTTATTTTTCTGCTCCGTCTGTGTTTTCTTTTTTTTTTTTTCTTCCTTTCTCTCTTTCATTCTTTCTTCAGCCAGCTCGTCGTCATCACGTGAAACGAAATGCTCAGCAACTTGGAACATATGCTTCGAGTTGGGACACTAATGGCTTCGAATCCAATTTGAGCAGGATCGAGGCCAGACTGTGGGAAGGCCCAACGCACAGATGCAGACGGACAAACTGACAGAGCTGAAACTAAAGGGACTTTATGAGCGTCTAAATAGTTTGAAGACATCTTGACTGAAGACGCTTTAAAATGCCTCAAATGCTGTTATTGGTCTCAGGAACAAAGTTAGCGATGAATCACTCAAACGCTATTTTGATCGAAACAGTTGAACTTAATTGTTCTGAACATTTAATCTCCGGGGGCCGTGTAAAATCCTCGTATGGTTGCAAGTTGTGATTATTTTCATTATCAGTTTCTCTGCTGATTGTTTTTCCATTTTTGCACAAGATGTCCTGTCTTGTCCTGCCAACACTGAAAGATGTCCAGTTTGTAATAATAGTAGAAAACAGAGCAAAGTAACAAGCCCTCACATTTGAGAAACTGGAAATGGCAGATGTCCATTTTTTCAGTAATTTATCATCAAAGTGGCCTGAAAATTATTAATCATCGAGTAATTGTTTCACCACAGATTTTAGATAAGTCAAAATCTATTACTTTAGCCTCCCTTAAATAGCAGTTAGTATTCCTTAAATGGAAGAGTACATGGAGTTAATGTGAGATTGTGCAGGGAAGCTGTGGTTGATCTTTATTATTTAATACACACCGTAATTTAACATTACTGCTAACTGAAGAAATCGATTTCCTCGCCGCTGCCGGGATCTGTGATGGACGTCACAAACTCCACAGCCTACGTCCACAGTCCACATATTTTGGTGAGCTGGCTGTGAGGGTGGCTAAGAGAGAACCACATGATCCCACAGGTTTTCTTAATATCCCCAACAATGTGACTGTGCCGAGTTAAGAGCTGTGTCAGAGCATTTTGGAGACTTGTTGTGAAGTGGGTTGTTTACTTGCAGTGCAGTATTCATAACCAGCCACCTCAGGATGTATGGTGTTTTAAATTTCATCTTATCAGATCAACCTGTTCTTTAAAAATGAATTTCACCTCT